ACTTTGTAGACCAGGCTGGCCTCGAACTCACAGAGATCCGCCTGCCTCTGCCTCCCGAGTGCTGGGATTAAAGGTGTGCGCCACCACCGCCCGGCTAAGATCCTGTTTGTTTAAAAAAAAAAAAAAAAAAAGCAGAGAAAGAGGGAAAGTGTGTGTGTGTGTGTGTGTGTGTGTGTGTGTGTGTGTGTGTGTCCGCTTCCTGACCTTGAGGCTAAGCCCCTCTTCTGTGCCCTCTGTGTGGCTTTGGCAGAACATCACACATGGTTCCAGCTTCCACGTGGTCCTGGACACCATCCCATCCATGATGAGCGCCCTGCGCATGGTGTGGATCATCTCAAGACACTACAACAAGGATGAGAGGATGATCCCGCTCATGGAGCGCATTGCCTGGGAGATTGCTGAGCGCGTGTGCAGGGTCATCAACCTGCGTACCCTGTTCAAGTGAGGAGCTGCGGGGCCAGCGGGGGGGGGGGGGGTTCCTTCTGGGATCCAGCGGCTCTGTCCAGGCTGGGAGGGGGGCTCAGCAATAGAGTAGGTGCCTAGTGCCCTAAGGGCCTGGGTTCCGTCCCCAACACCGCAAAATAATGTCACAGAGATGGCAGTGTACTAACCATCACATCAGTTGACTTATTTGCGGCTCTTGCAGAGGACCTGGGTTCAGTTTCCAGCACCCACAGGCAGCTTTCAGCTTCCTGCCTGGAATTAGAGCTCCAAGGGAAGTCTGATGCCCCCTCCTGGCCTTCTTGGGTACTGCACTCATGTGGACACACACACACACACACACATACATATATATACACATACATACATATATATACACACACACACACACACTTATGCACATACTTTTAGACTATATATTTTAAAGAACATTCTCTTCATCTCCCAAAGACGCCTGGTATCTTTTAGTAGTCACTTCAAACCTCCTCCCTCTCCAAGTCCCAAGGCCTGGAGATCATGCAAGACCAAGTCTTTTCTGGGTGGTGTTTCATTCATCATGACACCTCCAAGGCTTATCCATGATATATGTGCATCACCTGTGAAAGAACCCCCAGGGGAGATCTTCCTCCGGGAGAGA